CAGTGCCGGGAAGGACACTCATCCAATCTAACCTCTGTGTAAGGGCATACATTTTAAGTTTGAACTCCTCACACACACAAGATGAGAGAAATCATTGCAGTATGCATGGCATAGTTACGAGTCAGACTCTTTTGGGCACTTAACAAGGGAAGGCTCCAAATACTCTGGGCAAAGCAACAGAGGGAGAAGAAGAGGGATGAAAAAGAACTGGGAAAAGCAAAGAGGTCTCCATGTGTTGATGTAAATAGCAAGTTGCTGTAGAACAAGCACAGTTAGACTTTGCAAGGACAGCAAGCAGATGAGTCCTCTCAGTGGCATAAGTAAAAAGGAGACAAAAGAGGTGAGTAAGGGGGCAGTGAGGGAAGAGACAGATACTAGAGATGTTCAGATAGTGTATCAAGCTAGTAATCGTAGAATCATAAACGTAAAACAGTGTAATTCAGTTTTCTATAAGAAGATGTTGAATATTCAAGGAGAATGTAAAAACAAGGAAACTGTTAGGAATTAGGGCATGCAAAAACAAGGAGCCACACCACAGACAAGAACAAGGCAGCATGGTCAGTGGACTTCACCATGTTGACAAGATCATTTCCATCCCAGGACCCCTAGAGATTCATTCACCAGACTACATGAAGTCATAAATCCAACAGTAACAACCTGTTGTGTAAACCTCCCCAGTCAGAAGTGTTTACCCAGGTTTTGAAAAAGGGAGATTGTTCCAAGCCAATTGACCGCTGTCACCTCAACGTTAGAAAAGGACTCAAACAAAATATGAATAATAAACATTGGAATGGTGTTTGGGGGAACAGCCTGACACCTGTCAAATGCAGGCTGGGTTTAGCAGAAGCAATTCAAGGCTGCCCAGTCTGATAAACAACTCAAAGAGGGGCATATAGTGGTCAGATTTTCTAGGTGCAAGAGATGAAGTAGATGTAAGCTGAAATTCAACAGGTCATTTTGGTATGTAGAAACTAGGGAAATTATCAGTGAAACTAATGAAGATGGACATTAATAAGAATGATGAGATGGGTAAAAGGCTGGCCTGTGCTGAGAAACACCTTCAGGAGAGCATCACACCAGAGGGAACCTGCCAATGAGAATCCTTAAAGACAAGTCTTGGGTTTGCTTTTGGTAAATAGCTACATGAATGTTTTTGGCACAGACAAATGGGAGTGTACTGATGAAGTGTGCTTTAATTCACTGTCATCGCAGAGCAGTTTTTTGGGTAGAACTGGATGAGTTTAAGGGGAGGGGTAGTAGGTGTGAGACGAAATGGGACAGCACAGAACTGAAAATGATGCAGAAAGGAAGTTGTGTGCTACCCTCTGGGAGATCTGTCCATTGAAATAGAATAAGGCTGTAAAGGTCTGAGCTCTGGACTTGATTTTCCATGACCATGAATGTAAGGAGACTATGAAAAATGCAAAGCAGCCTCAATAGGTACCAAAGCCAGTATGGAAGGGGATAACTACGAGTGCCAATGAAGGTGCTGGCAAGTCCTTCAATTCTAATTACTCGCCTTCATGAAATATAAATTTTACTGAGATCACGTGCAGATAAGCATCTAAAACCAGGCTATTGGGAAAAAAATGACATAAATGATAGAAAGTGAATAAAAGGTTTTGGATCATGTTCTTTAGCAAATCTGAGCCTGAGGAATTCCAATTGCTGTCTCTCCCCAAAGGAATGGAACGAACTATTTAAGCTGGAGAGATGGTGGTTACGAAATCGCTGGGTATGGACTGGCTGATGTTGTCTAGGATTGGAAACTAGAAGATGTGTCCACTTGAGAGTGGTGAGGCTCAGGGACAGCCTTCAGATTTAGGCAGTGCCTAGATGGCTTGGAGAGAGGGCCTGGGGAGGGTGAGGAAGAGCTGTAAGCAAGGGGAGCAAACCTTGAGGTTATATGAATTTCATTCCCACTCTTCTCCCATTTGAGTAGTCAGTAATGCCTGCATGAGCCTCACAGCAGATTATTTTGTCCGTGCTGTATCAATGTTTATCTCATTCGCAGTGGAAAAAAACAAACCTGGGAAATGAGCATTTCACTCCGAGGAGAAAGGCGGCTGTGAAGGGCAGATCTGCTTCTGGGTTTCAGCAGGCTATTCTCCAGCCATCTTCCATTCATGCTCCAGACATCACTGGGAACAAGAGCTAAACAGTTGCTGTGCTGTTTCATAATGGAGAAACGAGCCTCTGTGAGAGGTAAGACACTTCCTTTTCTTTGCTTGAAACATCATGAACTTTCAAACTTGGCAAGGCTCTTTTGAGTTCGATCTAATAATAAACCCAAACCTTCTATCGTACAAAAGCAATGAGTCTGAACTGGCCTGAACTTGCCTCGGGGAGCTGAGATCCAAAGCTCTGTCATTCCTTCAAAAGCCATTCTCCTCTCTGCAAGGACAGGATGTTGTTGACATCCTCGCTGTTTGCTCAGCTTCCCTTCCTTGTGATGAAATCCCTCTATAGCGACTCTGGAGGTCCTCCTCCAGCTCCGCTTTGGGCATACAATGTGCTGCCCAACTAAATCCCCGCTCTTTTCTATGAGTGATTTATGGACACTCCAAGGCCATTGAGACTCAGCACATTTTCTGTTTTCCAAACGTTGGTGCATCGAGTGTGGTACTTTTCCTGCCAGTGGGAACCTGAAAGACCTGATGGGCTTTTCTGGCAGGACTCATTGCCTGTGGAAGGGACGCCAAGCTGCCTGCAGAGCTAGAGGAAGTACAAATGGGCATGTGCTTTGACCTCCACTGGGAGCCATGGAAAAAATATTTTGACTTGATTTTACAGCTCAGTTTCTCACTAGCACAATGCGAGCGCTTGACCAGCGATCAGAAACGCACTCACTTGATTTGCATCATCTGCTTGGTTACTGTTATTAGGCACAATTGATGTTAAATGAAGAACAACAGAAAACAAAAACAAAAACAAAAACACCAAGCTCAACCACCAGATTTCACAAAGACTGAAATACTTCTGCTTTTATCATATTTATTTTCTTATGGTATGATGACATGCTCTTATGTCATCATGAGCTATTTCTTCTGGGAGAGAGAAGGGGAGTTTGCAATGTTTGTTCAAGCTCTCTAAATTTAAATGACTAACTTAAGCACATAATCTCCCTAGGCTGCCTATAAAAACCAACTGAGAAGGAAGGGCTCCTCTAGTGAGCAGTTCAAAAGCTCCTGCTTAAGTGAGCAATATTTTATTACCATGCTGTGCAATATCACGGGTATTTAGGGCTACATTTTTGCTTTACCTTCTTTCATGCTTCTCTTCTCCAGGATGATGAGAAGAATAAAAATGTCTCTGTGTATCTGTATTTGTTACACACTGTATCTCACTATGCAAATCACATAATTAATAGAGCTCAAGTGAATGAAATAGGAGTCTCCCCTTTCCCCTCCTGGAAACCATTTCCTCAATATATAGAGGACAAATGTATAAAAATGAAAAAAATCCCACCAAACTCTCAGATCTTGACTCTGAAGTTTAACAGCTTTATCTATGCAGGAGTGGAGGTTGATGTTGGAAACCCATTCCTTGTATTTGGAGATGAAAAGCAAATTGGAACTCACATGGGGCTGGTCCAAAGCTCATGGAAGTTGGGAAGCCCATGATATAGGAACCATTACAGTAAATTATTCCCAAATCCACCTTTCCCATCATCCTATTTGCAGTGGGCGCCACCAATAGATGCTTCTGGTGAATGTTGGAATGGGTTTGCAATGGGTTAACTGTGACATTTGGTCACATACTAATACTCCAGATAGAAAACAGCCGAAGTCAGGTCTGACACATGAATGTTAGTTCCCCTTCTACATGTTAACTTAACATTAACTTTGCAAAATATAGGTTTTCTTGCTGCTGTAACTTCAATACCTTAGGAGAGGCAGTATTTTTGTAAGAAAAATAGGGAGAATTAGGTTAGACACAATTACTGAGTACTCAGGGAGCAGTTATCAAGTGAATCCTGTCAAACTGGAAGGATTTATTGAGCTGCTTCTCTAGGGATATGGCCTAGATTCAGGACTATTCAGTATTTTCATTAATAAAGTGGATGAAGAGATGGGCAGCCCCTTTGTTAGTGTCAGCTAAGAGCAAGACAGTGGGGAAGAGGAGATTAGTGCTCGGGAGAGCTCAGCAATTAGGGGAATGATCTGGAAATAAACAGGATGCAATTTAGGGAAGATAAGTGCAAATCTGCACTTAGCTGGAAATGACAAGCTACAAAGGTGGGACAGAGCAGCCAGGTGGCACTGGGAGCAGAGGGCTGTGATGGATTAACGGCATGGCTGTGGAGGAAAGAATTGGGTTGGGTTGTGCCGGCAAGGGATGTTGTGAGAGTTAATCCTTTCAGCTGCATCACTGGGACCCATTTGTGGCATTACACCTGGGGAAATAGGAGGCAGTCCCTAGGGGAGCACACTGCAGAGAGGACGTGGGCAGAGCAGTGCCTGGGGGGAAGGAGGGAACACATTTGTTTTTAGCCTGGGGTGGGCAAGGCTGAAAGGCGACTGGATAACAATCTTCACACATGCTCAGCCTGCCAAAAAAGAGGAAGGCAGTGAACTATTCTGCATCCAGAAATTATCCTCTGTGGTTTAACCACGATTCTGTGCGGTTAGGAGAAAAAAAAAAAAAGAGTGAGAGAGGAATTCTATGATTCTATGATTCTATTCTATGAATTGAGATGGTAGATAAGTTGACTTTACTGCTTTACTTATGAAGCACCTTAGGGCATAAAGCACATGATCAAACATAGTCGAGTTACTGTAGCTTAATGAGTTATTGCCTGTTGGCTGAACTATACTAATTAACCATGTGCGTGCTCTTAGCATGCCTCAATTGCCTGATGAAATGGGCTCACTTAAATACTTGTGTTTTACATTGCAGCCAGGGCAGGCTGGAAGCCTTGCTTAAGATCAGTGATTACAGCTCATGGAGGGTGACTTTAAGGGCTGGAAACTTGTCCTTGGTTCTCAACAGCTTATCTGGGCATGTAAGAAGGTGGGTGGCAAGGGAAGAGGAACAGAAAGCAGACCTGAACAAGTGAAGTGTGCTCATTCATAGGAAACAGAAAAGTGGCTCCGTATGTAGAAAAACTCTGAGTTCTGTAAAAGAACCCATTGTTTTTTGTTTGATAACAAGGGTAATTTAAAAATGTAGCATTAAGAATGCTACAGAACACTGCATGCTATTGCATACGCACTTAAGTTTCTCCCTTGTTTTTTAGTGTTTGCCAGTATATTGTTCTTCTCCTCAGCTTCCTTTGATTGTTCACCATCATAGTGGCTGTTGCAGTTTCTCCTTGCCATGGACCTTCTTCCTTTCACTGTGATGATGGAGTGGAGACATCCTGGTGGTTGTAAGTATGGAGTATCCAGTGCTCCAGTTTTCTTCTGATACACTTTTCCCCTTCCTGCCTCTTTTTTTTTTCTTTTTTTTCTTTTCCCCACGTCCATCCTCTTTGCCCTTCATAGTGGTTTTCCCACTGATATCACCGTTTTGAATTATGTTGCTAAGGACGAACTTTTGGATTTCAGAGTATTTAGGGAAGCATTTTGTTTGCAGCAGTACTTATGTTTGGACCCTGTAAGTTACCTCTTTGAAAGCAACTAGCTCATACGCTTATAATATGCCATGAGAGAAGCAGCAGACTGGCAGCTCTGCCTAGCAGACGTGCTTGACAAGTGCTATGTGAAACAAAAGCAGAGGTGTGCTTTCTCAGTTTGTTGCTGTTTAACAAACTCACATAAATTATCCTGGAAGAGACTTGGAGAGCTTATCTCTTTCCTTTCTCTGCCCGGGGTGGGATCGAATGCATCGCTGCCCTTTGTGATGGGTGTTTACCCCTATCTTACATTAATTTGCTACTTCAAGTACTTTCTGTTTTCTGTAGGAAAGAGAAATGCTAAAAAACTTCATAAAGATGTTAGACAACATAACTGTTTTGTAATCTAATTTAGTCTAAAGTTGATTGTTTTCCCTTCAGGACATAATTTTTTGCATTGGGAGAGAATCTACAGATAACTGGAGCTATAATGCAGCAGCAGTGTGTATACTGTGTTTCAGGCCTGTGACACAAAAGCAAAGCTTCAGTCACTCTTTTCCTAGTATATATACTTTCCTATATAGAGGAAAGAGGTGCTGTTATGCACAAAGCCAGTAGCAGGGCTTTGCTTTCCACGCTCTGGACCAAAGATATGATGTGTGACTTAGTTGAGGTTGAAATTTAGTCGGGGTCTAGGGATTCTTTCTACAGCAGCATGGAAATAATTGATATCTGTGCAAAGTTCATATCCAGACATAGATCTGCAATGGAGGAATGTCTGTGGCCAACTGGAGCTGGCATTCATCTTATCTGTAGCTTAACTGCAGAGAAATTTTATCTCAAAGCAGTCCTCTCTGCAGTCCTTTCAGTGCTGCTAATCCCCCTCTGGTATTGCCAAGGAAATAGCAGACAATAACTGCTCCATGGAGATCTCCAGAGAAAGAGTCATACAAGAAGAACGTGAGAACTGCAGAGCAGACTGCATTTCCAGTTATGTTAGAGCAATGTATATCTACAAGTAGCTGAAAATCGTGCTGCTAGCACGGTTCTGTCATGTCCTTCAGGAAGTACTGCTTGTACACACAGACCCTAGTACAGACAGATTAAAAAACAAACAAACCATTTTCTCCTTCTGCATGCAATGAAGTACTGCATGCAGCTTGAAAGTGAGAGTGCACACTAGAAAAACAATGTTTGAATGAGATGAAAATAGATGAAAATAGATGAAAGAAAGCCCATTTCTCTTACAGGGAGTAGTAACTCCCTGAGACTTATTCCTGCAAAAGACTAAGGGTGTGGGTAGTATTGGCATATTCAAGAACAAGTTAGACAAATTTATGGACAGCTGAATCGTAGAATCTTAAAACCATCAAGATCATTAAGCTCATCTAGTCCAACCATCAGCACATCCCCACCATAGCTGCTAGCTATGTCCCTCAGTGCCACATCTACATTGTTACTGAACACCTCCAGGGACAGCAACTCCACCACCTCCCTGGGCAGCCTTACTAAAATCACTGTGCAACAACATTTAAAGAGAAAGCAGGTGATAGCAAAACACAGCCTGGGAACACCCAATTGTTCCTCAAAACATGCCGGGGTGTGCATCTGCTTTCCTCATCCACTGCTGTAGAAGTGGAGAGGAGAGACACGCCATCAGGCATACAGCTTGTCTACTTTTGATTTCAGCACGTTTGGTGAGGGCTGGAGTTGTGATGTATTTTCCAGAGCTCACAGCATCAAATAATTCTCAGTAGTGTCACAAATAATGTTGTTTCAGGTTGTGAGGGATTTACAGACAGGAGCCAAAGACCCTTGGAATCGATATCAATAATTCTGCTTCTCAAGCTGAAGGCAGATCTCCCACAGCTGTCAAGGGCTGTGGCTTTTTATGCCCCATCTATCCATGAGGACTCAAGACCATCGTAATTAGCTGCTAATTGAAGAGCCTGTCTCCGAAAAGCACAATTTCAGAGAACAAAGAGCCAGAGAGGCTCATTTCTAGGGCTAATTGGAATTAATTCATAGCTATAAGTGGAAGGGCTCCCACAGTCCTGAGACTCTCTTGCCCTCTCCTGAAGCAGTGCTCTAAACATATGCATACCAATCATAGAAGGGTCAGTGTGACTTGTACAGCTCTTCTGTGATACAGAAATTGTGCTGCTGGTTAAAAATAAGTATGATTTTCATTCTTTTTTTTTTTTTCTTTTTTTTTTTTTCAGCTCTGGTCTGTCTCTTCCTCCTGCTGCATCCAAGACTGCAGTCCTAACCCAGGCTCGTAGAATGGCCTGGGTTGAAAAGGACCATAATAATCATCTAGTTTCATCCCCTATGCTGTGTGCAGGGTTGCCAACCAATACAGAAAGAAGAGATCTGCCAGATCAGGCTATGCTTCTTACCACTTCCTAAGCCCTCCTGAAGATGGCTCAGGCACAGTTAACGTCAGGTACCTCTTTGAGCTGCTGGAATCCATTTATTTTCATAGAATCATAGAGTTTGAGTTGCAAGGGATCTTTAAAGCTTGTCTGGGCCAACTCCTCTGCAATGAACAGGGACGGCAGATCCATGGCAGTTGCTTCCTCTGCCTGAACAGGGCTCCAGCACAGTCCCCAGTGGCCCTTCAAGTGGTGCTGACACAGGCTGCAGCTTGCTGTCTGGATGCAGTCTCTTAAATGCCTTCAGGAGCCAATTGTATTCTGTAAGGACTGAAGTTAAACAAAATTCTGTACAGTAAACATTTCAGTAATAGGTCAACCTACAGTATTTATATCTTATCTGAGATCTCCTTGTCTCTTTTTTTTGTGTTTAAACAACCTTCCAGCACCTCCCACTGCTTGAGGGCTGTGTCAATAGAAGAGCACTCAGAGAGGAAACGAACCAAACTTTTCCCTTATGGCAGTCAGTGCTTTCAAAACACCTCTGTTTTTGGTGCTCCCATTTTTGGTTGCCCAGAATCAGGTGCCTGTAAGATGAACTTAATTTGAACACCTACCTTTGGAAGGCCACATTTACTTCATGGCACTTGAAGCTAGGGACCCAAAAAAGAGCAAGATGATAATTGATTTGGAAAAACGCAGGATAACACATTCTCATTAGTGATGATCCTGTTGTGGAGGAGGTGGCCCCATGAGTTCTGCAGTGCTGGCCTCCCTGTGGAAGGATGTCTAACGAACCTTAGAAAATTCACAGTTTAACTGTGAGTGTCGGAAGCTGATGCTCCTAAAGCAGACAAGTCAATTTAACAGGAAAAAGGAGCGTGTGCTGCTCAGTAGTTGTGATGTGCCTCATTTGTGGCTCCAAATATAGTCGTATGTCTATATCTTTAGTTACCCACAGCTGAAAATCTGCTTTGTGAAACCTCTGAGTATGTGTGCTGGGGTGCATATGAACATCTTGTTGAAATCAAGAGACTGAGCTCCTTGAGCACCTTGAGATTTCCCGCTAAAGGAAAATGATTTTCTGGAAGATTTTCCAAAACCTACTTGAATGGCAGAGAGCTGGGTTGTATGAGGTTTCCAAACACAGCATTGCTCCTTACTTAATGGCAGAATACCTCAGCCACCCCTTCAGACAGCTGTTGCTCCTGCCCTGCCACCACACACTGGTGCAAGAGATCTTTTGCAAGAGATCATTTACTCATCGCTTCTGACAAGGTCTCAAGTAGTTCCCTGTTGCCAAACGGCAGAATTTTCTTCCCTGTACATATCACGTTCTTCCTGCACTGCCTGCAATCCTACTTTGAGCTGGTGCTTGAAAAACTGAGATACGGTCTCAATGGGACTCGTGGTTTCCCATTAGGTCTCAATGGCTCAAATTTGTCTGATTTGTTTGTATCTGCAGTGGATTACATTTCTTGTATTAGGTCAGGAAAGCTAGTTAAGTTGTGCAGAAGTCCAATTTTAAAGACTTGAAAGCTCTTTGCATTTAACATCTCACTGACCTACTGTGCAGCAGAGCAATTAGATGACCACAGAGCCAACTACTCCTTGGGCATCATGCTCCTGGCCTGAATGCTCTATCTCTTGAAGGCATGAAGCATGGTATGGAATTCAAACTCTTTCCATGGGCTGGAGAATTTTCTTTAAGTGCCTACTTGCTTTTCTTTTTTGTGCACAAATGAATTGTCTGTTTGAGATGAGAAGTGGAATCAGAGTACCACTACAATGGCACTGGGACTGCACTGTACCTAAGTGATACCATATGTTGGCCTGCTTCTAGCAATTTGCTGTGTGACTACGTCAGCTCAGTAGGGATCTGTCTGGAAAAACAGGGTGAAAAAGAATAGCTGAAGAGAGCCTCTCTGAGCAAATGCTGACAAAGCTGCTGAGAGGCAACCCTAGAACCATCATCTTTGATGGCTTTCTTTCCAAGCCAGGCAACCTACAGAATTGGTTACAACCAGGAAAGGAAGAAGACTGTTATAAAACACACTTAGGAAATGTCTTTGCCCTTCATTTACAGTCTGTAGGCAATAATTATCATCAGCCTTGGAGAAGGCACCCGGCCAGAATACTAAGTACTGTGTGATGTCACAGTGCCTGCCAGGGAACTGTGACCTGAGACAGGATAGAAACCGAAAGTTTGCAAATGGTTCCAAGCTTCCTATCTAAACCCTGTCTACTCTATGAAGGAGTGCTGTAGATTTCAGTGCCTGTGTGACCCTTCTTTCTGTAGGACAGGCAGACACCCTACAGCCTGTCTGAACACGGAAGGCTGTCTGGATATGGGCTAAAAAATCATCTGGCCACATTGTGATCTGTTGTGAAGGGAAATAAATCCAGTGGAATCCTTATAGACAGGCACATGTGGAGCATGGCTGATACCTCATTTACAGCTCATAATTACTGCAGTTATAACATTTCTATCTTTAAATGGAACTCTCCTCGCATTATTCCTGTAACTTTTATTTTTGAAGTCTTTTGTTTGTTCCCCTTATGGGGCTGAAAATGTGTTAGGATCTGAAAGATTTTGGATCCGGTACTGCAGCTGCCATTCCAAAAAACATGTAAATAAAACAAGAATTCTGCACATGGGAATCTGAAGCGGCTGTGGGGAGGATTAGGGATTAGTAAGGGATGATTCTGTCATTGTTCTCCTAATTGATAAAAGATGGACCACTGTTATTTTGAATAAAGCTGTTACCACACAAGCCTCAAGCAACTCAACAGAAGATCCTGTGTAATGGAGAACGGCTTCTGGATGTTCCTGTGAAGTTACTGTGCTTGGAGCATACAAGAGTAAGGAGCAGGATGAGGGAGCACCTTGCAGTACCTCTGCTCCCTCTTTTTAAGATTAATTGAAAAAATTACTTTCAGAGGAATCCACTTCATTTTTCGTCTCCTGAGCTGCCTCTCCCCTACTTCAGCCCTGCCACGTGCTCTGTACTCATTAGTCCTGCCTGCCCAAGCACTGCCCCTTTTCCAACCTGGAGGACCTAAATCTAAAGCAAAGCATCTCTGCGTGATCCCCTCTTGTGGCAGCCTTCCATCCAATGCTTCTTCAGCACCTGTACTTGACATCAGGCACACTGATGTTTATAGCAGCAGCCAAGACAGTTGGATTAGGTTACAGAGAGCTCAAGATAGCTTTACAAGGTGTACTTAGAAGGGTATGTCTATATTTACTCTGAACATCAGCACTTCTGTTGAATATTGCTGCACATTCAGATAGAATTCGACAGACAACATATGAAAAGGAGCAGCACACACAATGCATAAGCATCATCCTAATGCAGAGGTCATATTTTAGAGGACAAAAAGGAGGTGCCTGGCAACTCAAAAGACTCATCTGTTAACTCAAAGGGGATGTAAAGATGGGATTCAGAAGCAGCTGATCTCTGCAAGGCCTCTGAGCACATCTTTGCACTTGGCCTTCTAGTTGCTCCCAAGTCCAACCAACTGCTGAGCTCCACGGCCTCTCAGGGAGCTGTGGTGGGGTCGTGTGCTATGCATCCCAAATGGGGCTGATGCCCCACGAGCTATGGCCAAATTCCACTGTGCCAACATTTGGAGATGGTGTGTGAGAACCAGACCAGTCTTTTGAACTTGAAAGGATGACAAGTTTAGATGTGAGACCATCTGTCTGGTTGGGGGCATTGGCCTCAGACTGAGGAGAAGGAGAAATCACCTGGGATAAGGAAGGATGAGAGCCACCAAAGAGCCCGGGAGTTGTACTCCTACGTATAAATACTGTACAAAGTTAGACAACACACCAGGTAAATTCTCACGAAGCAGCATGTCTTGCCTCTTTCCCAGCTCTATCATGGAAATATTTATGTCCACCCAGGGCTGCCAAATTTGCTTAATACCAAGTGTGTGGACTCAAAACCGTACCACATCCAGTTGAAACTGGCTTTTGGGTACAAGCTCTGAGGACGTTTTAGGCCCGTGCACACCAGAAGACAAATGGCCATCTTTGAACATGAGCTGCTCTCCTTTCCTCCCTCCCCAGAAGCACGTGTGTAAACAAACCAGCCCAAGGAAGAGGCTCTGATTTTCCTTGCATTCTTCCAGCTTGAATCTCCTGTCCTTTCCCCCATGTCAGTCAGGGGAAAAAAAAAAGAGCTCTGTTTGTTGTTGTTTGGCAGCTGCTCCCGAGCCTGCATGAGAAGCAAGAAGGGCTGTGCTGGGGAAATCTGACTCTACTGCCACAAGGACCTGCAGGGAAACAAGAACTGCTGGATATGTCCAGAGGAGCCAAATGGTTGCAGTGGTACTCTGTAAGTCCAAGGGGAGCATTTGGTATGCTTTTAAATAGTCAGCATGAGTAGTTGGTGGAATTAAGAGAAGGAGGCTCTCATCCTTGCAATCCGGAAATATTTGTTAGGAGTGGAATTTACACTTTCTCAGAGCTCCGTAGGGTAAGAACAAGAGTGGTGTGCATTTTAGAATCTTAAACTAGACAAGACAAAGCCCCGGTGGGTGAAACAGTCAGCGATCCTGCTCAGGGGTAGAGTGAACTGCTGGCCTCTCGTCATGTGTCTCTTCCATCCCTCACTTCTGTGATGCTATAAAAAAGCCTGATCCAATCCTGGGATTACACAAAGAATGCACTGCAACAAAGAGAAGCCCATGGCCTTTCTGCTCACCCTTTAGTGGTATTTAGGACCAGAAGAGAGGTTGGTCTGAATAGTCAGAATGACATTCCTGGCCATGTTTAGCAAATGTTATCTGGGTTGAGCGGAAAAATATGTGCCCTCAATTAGAATATTTTCTCCATGTTCTCCTTTAATCCAGGTGTCAAATGGAGGCAACGATGGCCATTGAAGCCATTCTTGTGTGTCTGAGAAGATATTTCTTCCTGCCTCTGTGAGAATGGGCCAGTCCCAAGTGCCACTCTACAATTAGGATATTAATAGCCCTATTACTCTGTGCCATCTAGTTTGCTTTAAAATTCATGGTGCAGTTAGATGAGATTTGTTCATAACAGGAAAAGTACAGATGTGCAGGAAGACTGAGTCAGAACAGAGCTTTGAAATGCATCAAGCAACCATTTAATTAAAG